TGAAGCTGGTTTCGTTTTTTTCTCTTCGTTAGTTAACTCAAGCTTTTTGACTAGATTTTGCAACAACTCTATTTCGCTATCGCGATTGCTCAGCTGTAACTTCCTTCGTAAATTCAAATAACATCAGAGAAAGTACTCTTCTGGCTTACTTCTTTGTTTAACTTTGAGACTTCTCCACTCAGGTCCTTACGTTTATCCAGTTCACTTTTCGCTTCTTCCACTTCTCTTTTCACTAGCTGATTTTCGGAAGCAAGGCTGAAAAACAATTTTTTAGTGACAAATGACAGTTCCCAAAATTAGTGCAAACACACTCAAAACCCTTCAGTCTTTTTTTTGCAGCTGATTTGAAGCACGGTGAAAAGAGTGCATTACGTCAGGGAAAATTCTTGGTCAAAAATCTTCATACTCTGGAAGCCCTGTGAAATTCGTGGATTTCTTCTGTTCTATAAGAAACACATAAGAGGAAACCAGTAAGAACAGTTTGAAACAGTTCAATGGAGCTGCAAAAACTTACTTAAGAAGCAGATTACACAAGTTCGAAATTCCAACTGTATATGAACAAGAAATTGCTTTTACTTTAACAGTATATCAAGAGACTGACTTAGCTAATACAACCTTCCACTGCAATCAATTTGAATAGTCATAGGAATGATACTAATGGCACATCTTGCATACTTAAGATAAAAAATATCTACCCGAAGAAAACAATAATATATCCATTTTAGGTATAAGGAAGTCAATGTAGAACCACCGTTCCACTGTACCTGCAGCGCTCCAGTAATTTTTTTCAGCTAGCTATTAATTAACCCTTACTACGCAGTGCCTTTCCGAAAAAATCTATTTTGAGAGGATTTATACAATTTTCAAAGAGGATCCTTTCATCTGAGCCTCAGATGTTTCATATAAGTTTTTCAAAGCCAAATGACTAGTAACAAGCAACAATATTCCACAACAAATATCACACACATTATTTAAACCACTTATCAAAAAAAATCTATTTGGTAAAACAATCTTCAAGAACTCACAAATCATCAGGAACTAGAAGTGCCAGTGCCATAAACAGTAAATAGCATACCTTGAAATTTTCGACTTAAGCGTATCTACCTCCTGTTTCAGCGACTCACATGCCTGAATGTCACTCAGTAAACCATTTTAATATGGCTATGTTTTACAACCTCATACAGCAAATTGAAAAGTAATCCATTCTGAGCCCCGAATAATAAAAGCAATCAGCACAACCGCTAAAAAATAAGCAAAAACTCACCGTTCTCTCAATCATTTCAAAAGATTTTGCGCAAAGCATCTCGTTTTCAGATTTAAGTCTAAAATATATTTCTAAGATACTGATTTTAAGCGAGAAAATTTCACAGTTTAAACTAATGTGCCAAAAAAATGCTGCTTAATAATTTCAATCTTTCTTACTAAACCTCGTTTCTTTTCTAAATTCCAAAGTAAAAACGCTACTCCAAAGTAAAAAATATTATCTGACTCGGAACTAACTTCTTAACTTCTGCACTTAGTTCCTCAACTCTTTTATCATTGTTCCTAGCACGCACGTCATAGAGTGTTAACTCTTCTTTCAAAGACTGTTTTTCACGAACGCAGCTACCCAACTAAAAGAAGATCATAAATAAAATTGAGACTGGAACACGCTTATCTTTAACTTAATAAAAACATTATACAACAACTGCCTGCAGATTGAGATCTTCGATGATCTTCTCCGACTCTCTAACATTGAATTCAAGGTCCTCTCTTCGTTTCTGATCCAGTTTAATACGCTCCATTTCTGCCTCAGCCGCTTTTGCAGCTGACTGTAAATTGTTGTTTTCCGTCGTAAGCCTGAACTTTCTGTGTTTTTGTTTGTTTTTAGTGAAAGCAAGACAGATTATGTAAGAAAAGAATATATTAGAGACAGAAGTTACAACAGAATTTTCGTAAAAACCTTACATAATCATTTGAGACCTTAATTCCTCTAATTCCTTGTTGGAATCCTGTCCAATCTTTCCAACACTTCTTCCTTCTTCCTCAATAATCTTCTCCTCAGAAACTGTTTTTTCCTTAA